GATATTTGTATGCCCTATATGGATATTAGTCTGGACTGTGCATATGCCTAATGATTTCTTTTCATGTATTTCAGGAATTTTGCAAGATGACAAGATCCAAAAGCTGTTCGATTCCAGCTCCTCCATGAGAAGGGGAGGTGGAGGCACATCACTGGCTCAAAACTATTGCTTTCTCATTTCTTATGTGGTTGTGCTTTTTCGAATTTGAGATTTTGGGATTGCCAAGTTGTAATGGCATTGAATACTAGTTTTATCGCGGTTTGTCAATAAAACAACTCTTTTTTATTATGGATTTGAGTTTGTTATTCTGGAATATTATTATGTTAGGTCTGGATATTATTTATGAAATGTATGGATATTAATTTGTGTTGTCTGGATATTATGCTCTCATACACGTCCACATAGACACCCTTCTAATATCCATTCATTGCAAAACAAATACAAACACCACCCAGTTTAATATCCGACCACAAGACGACCACCTAAACCTAAAAACTAAACCTTAACCCTAAAAAAGAAACCTTAAACTCTAACACTAAAACCCTAATCACTACTTCGAATCTACTCGAGTACCAAACCCTTTTTTTGTGTGCATAACATAAAACCCTAAGAATAGTATCGGATGGCTCCAAAAAAGTATATGCACCATAATCCAACAGACTAGCATCCATCACACACTGACGAGTATCCACACTACCCAGACGAATATCCACACTACATAGTCTAATATCCATCTTTCTCATACGAATATCAAGTGATCCCAAAATGGATATTATCACTATGACAGACTAATATCCACCACATACTGACTAATATCTGATAGTTGTAGACTAATCCGAATAGTTATTAAAAGTGCTAGATGCTTAAATAAACAAAGGATCACATCGAAATAGTTACCAAAAGTGACATTAGAATATCCAAACGTCCTAGACAAATATTCGAAAGCATGAACTAATATCAATTCAACCCAAAGCTAATATCTGAACCATGTAAACTAATATCCATTCATTACAAACGACAACAAGACTAATATATATATATATATATATACACACTATTTCTTCATACTTGAAAACCAATGTAGATAAACATCCATATAGAACAAAAATTCAAACCACTCAGACTAATATCCGACTGTCCCAGACTAAAATCCGATCACCATCACAGATATCTACACCACCCAGACTAGTATCCCTTCGTCTCAGACTATTATCCAGTCATACCATAATTATTATCCTCACCATCATAGACAAATATCCACCACACACTGACTAATATCTTACCCCCGCAAACTAATATCCGACTACTCAGACAAATATCCACACATCACAAACTAATATCCTCCTATCCATAATAATATCCTATCACTGGAGACAAATATCGAACCACCCTAAACACTAAACCAAAACTCCAAACTTGAAACTCTGTCACTAAACCATAAACCCGAACCCTAAACACTAAACAAAAACTCGAACTCTAAATCTGAAACACTAACCCTAAGCTCTAAACACTAAATTGGATTAATCAAATTCTGATGGTATAAATTCAACGACTCTGAATTGGAAATAAAAAACAACTCAACAAGGACATCAAGGAACATCGACACAAACCAATCCATGTAAAAGCCACAAACCTTGTCATACACGTCCACATAGACACCCTTCTAATATCCATTCATTGCAAAACTAATATCTAATATCCACACAAATATCCAAACACATGAACTAAAAGAATATTTTCTCAGGTTCAAATAAATATCCACACAACCCGGACAAATATCACAATATTTTAAATAAAATCCCGTGGTTAGTAAAAAGTATTACAACTAGGAACGACAAGTATCCACAACACACTAACTAATATCTTACATTTGTACTCTATACCCTAAACCATAAACTCTAAACTCTAAAACCCTAATCACTAAACACTAAAAAATAAAACTATTATTGTTTGCCCAAGCCGATAATATTCAAAGGTTCCACACAAATATCCAAACACATGAACTAAGGGAATATTTCATTTAAATAACTATCATGTGGTTAGTAAATAGTATTATAACTAGAAAAGAAAGTATCCACAACAAACCAACTAATATCTTCTATTTGTACCCTAACCCTAAACCCTAAACTTTAAACTCTAAAACCCTAATCACTAAACACTAAAAAATCAAACTATTATTGTTTGCCCAAGCCGAGAATATTCAAAGGTTCCACACAAATATCCAAACACATGAACTAAAAGAATACTTTCTCAGGTTCAAATAAATATCCACACAACCCGGACAAATATCACAATATTTTAAATAAAAACCCGTGGTTAGTAAAAAGTATTACAACTAGGAAAGACAAGTATCCACAACACACTAACTAATATCTTACATTTGTACCCTAACCCTAAACCCTAAACTCAAAACTCTAAAACCCTAATCACTAAACACTAAAAAGCTAATATCCGAACCACGTAAACTAATATCCATTCATTGCAAACGATCACAAGACTAATAACAAAACCATTAACCCTAAAACAATAAACTCTAACACTAACACCCTAATCACTAAACTCTAAATCATAAAAACTATTATTATTTCATATGCTTAAATAAACAAACAAAGGATCACATCGGAATAGTTACCAAAAGTGTCTCATTAGAATATCCAAACGTCCCAAAAAAATATCCGAAAACAGGAACTAATGAACCCTAAATACTAAAACTAAAACGAATATCCACACTACCCAGACAAATATCCACACCACCCAGTCTAATATCCTTCTGTCTCAGAAGAATATCATGTGATCCCAAAATGGATATTATCACTATGACAGACTAATATTCACCACATACTTACTAATATATGATAGTTGTAGACTAATCCGAATAGTTACCAAAAGTGCTAGATGCTTAAATAAACAAAGGATCACATCGAAATAGTTACCAAAAGTGCCCATTAGAATATCCAAACTTCCCAGACAAATATTCGAAAGCACGAACTAATATCAATTCAACCAAAAGCTAATATCCGAACCACGTAAACTAATATTCATTCATTGCAAACGACCACAAGACTAATAATTAAACCTTTAACCCTAAAAAAAATTCCTAAACCCTAACACTAACACCCTAATCACTTTACCAAAAAAAGCCCTATTAGAATATCCAAAAGTCCAAGAAAATTTTCGAAAATATGAACTAATATCAATTCAAACCTAAGCTAGACCCTAAACCCTTAACATTAAATCGTAACACAAACCCTAAACCATAAAACTATTATTGTTTAATGGGCCCTCGGCCCATGGGCCCTCGGCGGGCAGCCCTAACTAAGGTTGCAAGCCTTATGTGTTAGGACTTGATAGCGTGTTTAATTTTGATGGAAGACACAATATTTATCGCATATAATATCAGTTCATGCAAAAACTTGTTTGTCGATTGCCCAGACTAAACCGTAAACCCAAACCTTAAACTCTAAATCGTAAACCCGAACCCTAAAACATTAACTCTAAATTGGTATAATCAGTTTCGGGTGGTTGGGTTATATTGGGGTTTGGTAAACATTAGTTGAATGATGGATATTGGTTTGCGAAGAAAGAATACTAGTTTATTTCAACAATGATACAAAGTAATATCAACACAACACATATTGATATCGGGTGAAAACAAATAAATATCCACACAAACAAACATACATAAATTCGTTCTCTCTCCATTCCTTTCCAAAATCCCGCCCAAACTGAAACGGGCCCACCAAGCTGCTTTTTCGGCTCCTTTTCCAAGCCGCAGGATGGGCCGGCTTATACCCACAAGCCCATCATTGGCTCACTTAAGTGAGCCACCAGAGCCTACCTCTCTCCTCCGTTGGATCTTAACTGGCCCGACGTGGCATCAAATCTGACCCTATTAGTATCTGCTAACAGATTTAGCAGTTAGCAGAATAACTTCTGCGTCAGATGACCACCACGGTCCTCAAAGAAAGACAGGGCGGTCACTTCCTAATCCTCCATTCCATCACTCTGTAAAAAACTGCCTCCTTCGAACCCTCCTCCGGACCCCTCCTTCTCCTTGGCCCGCCACTACAACGTCTCCAGCCTGAACACCAACAATAACAACCCCGACGAAATCTCCTATGAACCATGCGACACAATTTCGAATTTCAACATGAAGCCAGTTCCGAGGCGCAACACGCTGTCCGGATACCTAAACCAGCTAGCCGATTTGGAGAAGCACAGGGCGCGGATAAGGGAGGCGTTGCTAGAAGGCCTATGGCCACAGATCTGAGATCGAGATCCTGTGTAGAGAAGTGTAGCCGTATGGTCACAGATCCGCTGATCGATAGAGAACAAAAAAAATAAAATCGAAGCATAGATCTGAAGTAAAGGAAATTAGAAAGAGAAGTTTGTCAGAAGAATTAGGCGGGCGGATCCAGTTGAAAGAGGAAGGAAACAAGTGAAGGTAGGTGGATTGGGAGATGAAGAAAGAGGGTTAGGAGGAAGAATTGGTGATGTTCGATTCATAGACACGAAATCGACATCAGTAGAAAAGAAAAGGAGGGGAAAGAAAGGAAGGAGATGGGAAAACAGAAATTCGAACTAGAGTGTGGGAGATTTTTGAGCAGGAACAAGTGGGCCGGGTTTGGTTTTGGGTCCGGTTAGGTTAATGGGTTGGCTTGGGTGTATGACATGGCGGGTTTAGTGACGTGGCGGGTCAGGTTTGTCAATTTTTGGCCCAAAATGGCGCTGATTGGGCGCTCCTGTTAGCCACATCAGCACTTAACAGACTCTGTTAACGGATTTGGACGGAGACTAATGGAGAGTGACTAAATGTGACCTGTTTTAGTAATTTGAGTAATCAAAGTTGATATTTATTTTTTCTAGTGACTAAACATGACACAATTTAATAATCACAGTGACCAAATGTGGCATTAACCCGATTTGAATTTGACGTGAACTTGTTTATACGTTTATATGACTGGTGATCTGCAACCTGTAATCTCCTGAAAGTAGTAAAACTAATTTGTCATGCTCGTGGACTAGCTAACTAATACATTTCGTGTGAGTGAACCATGTAAATATATGTCATGAAGGTAGTGTAGTAAAATTGATCTCTCCTGCTCGTGGACTAGCTAACTAATGCATATTGTGTAGGAGGAGGAATCACTATTTCCAGTTTCAGCTCAGACATCCAGAGAAAAGACCTGAGATTTAATCCATCATTTTGTTGTGTTTGATTATTTGTTACAATAATACAACATAACTCTTCTGTTGTGAATGTACATTAGAAATGAACAAATTGAAACTACAATCTCCTTCCCCCATCGCCTTTTACTGTTTTGCAGTAACTTTAAGTTACACATCCCAAGCAGCCTTTGTCCTCTAAAACTTCCATCAGCTTCTTTGTTTTAAGGGATGAAGGTTTCTGCAGTTAAATGCATACAAAAGCTGGTGATTTCCTCCATTTTTTTTATCGATCCTTTAGTTTACAGTACACAGTTCAGGATTTGGTGCCGATCACTTGCCACCTTTATAACCTGCTCGTAGTTCTCTTTCAAGCTCGTCGAACTCCCATTCGCCAACCTCCTCCGCTGAATAATCCGTTGGATCAACCTTGCCAAACTCTGACTCTAGCTTTGCCAGTTCTGCTTCAGCATCGAGGGTCTTCCCCGACTCACTGCCACTTGTGGCTGGTTTCTTGGGAAGCTCGGCAGGTGGCTTTGGGGAACTAGGCTCTGCCTTGAGAGGCTCGGCTGTAGGAGTGGAAGCAACTTCTGAGGACTTCTCCTCAGATGTTGCTTCTTGCTTTGAGCTCGGAACCTCCACCTCAAGAATTGGTCTGTCAATGGCATCAAATTCCTGTCTCAGCTTTTCGATCTCATCAAATAGCTCTTTCACTCTTTCATCGTGTTTCCTGTCAAGAGATAGCCCGTCATGTGTACAGAACACAAGCAGAATTTAGTTAAGAAACAGCCATTATGTGATGGTGACTGGAAATCAGACCTTGAACTTGCGCCTTTTTGAGCATAGAATTGCTCCCTCATGTTATCCACTACACTGAAGGTGGTCACGATCTGACACAAGAGAATGAATGGCATACTCAACTCCAAAGTCCAATGTGTTTTAGGAATTGTACACGTATGGTGAGCAAAAAGAAACCAAACACAAGCACCAACTCACCTTCGCTTCATAGTCCATATATTCTTCCTCAAGATGTCGCCTCGGGCTAATTACTTGAGAATCCTGATTATCTGCACTGGCTGCTACCTCTGACCTGCATTGTTCAAATAAAAAAGAATAAAACAAGCGAGAGCAAAATTCCAGTCCTTGTCTTCCTTTAGGCCATATACGAGTACATGACGTTTGAGTGATATTAGAAAACTAAACCTAACGAGACGAAGTAGATTACCCTGGACTCAATTTCTTCAGGTTCTCAACATATGTACCAATGCGGCCAATAGAAGGTTCCAATTCATTCTGCATAACAAGGGGAACTCATGGTCAGAAGCATGAAAAGAATATAAAAGAAGCAGGCTATCATCAACATCAGTTCCATTTGAAGTTTTGAACTGTACAACCCCAAAATACACAGCAATGATACCTTGTAATCAGATAGAAGATTGACGGCCAAGTTCGTGAAGTACTCCTCATGTTTCTCCAGCTCATCACTTTGAAACAAGGGGAAAAAACAAAACGGCGAACACAAAACCTCAGATAGAGAATCCTAAGGACAATACCAGTAAATTGACTGCAAACACTTACGCTGCCTGCTTCTCGATCGTTTCCACATAGGAGCGCTGGAGAACCCAAGTGTCCTCCAAGAAGTTAACCCAAGTGCCCAGAACATCAGATTCTACCTTGCATGCAGCGATTGAGCCCGTCAACTCATCTTCCTGTTAAAACACCCACGATATATGTGTCAGACGCATCAAAGATGCATAACTTCACCACTAAATATTTGGCATTCACGAGGCTGAAGAAAGGAAAAGGCACCTTTGCCTTCAAATGCTCAATGATCTGATTGTTTGCTTCTTCAAACTGGTCCCTTTCTTCTCTGGCATTATTGAGGCGTGCATTTGCAGCAGATAAGGATATATTAACCTTCACGATACAGAGACTTTCAGTGATAATGCAGTTGGTCAAGGTAACCAAACAACTTCAATTAGAGCCATATTGTGTTCCACCAGTAAATACTTATATTTAAAAAGGAATCTAGAATTTATAATTATAAAAAACCAACATACAAGAAATTATATATTGTTTCCTAGACGAAGCTGTAACGTCAGTACGTCGCCGCACTGAGTAAGTAATAGAGAGAATAACCTTTTTCAACTGGGCTTCCAGTTCATCTCTTTCCTTTTCAAGTACAGTGATCTCAGCACCTATTTCCTGCAAAAAAATTAAGAGAGAGAACAGATTGAATTTTGGCTAAATACTGGTTAAACGCTAAATGCATTCTAGTACATTGCACTTGAACTTGCCTTCAATTGCGTCCAGAAGACAGGCAAGCAAACAACACCATAAATAAGTGAGAATCCACTAAAATTTCAATTGTTCAGCGCAAAACAAACCCTCAGGCATAATCAATTTCTTTCAATTGGGCTATGAAATGCATAACTGATGATCATCATACTAAACGACACATAATCTTCCAGCTTCAACAATCTGGATGTAAATGGTCATACCAAAGTACTATAATTTTCAGTACCTTCTCCTTTTCATTGGCTTCATCAGCTTTAGAAATGCGAACTTTCAATGCCTCTTCCTTTTGTGATCTGACAAGCCAGTGGAATAAAGGAGACCATATTAGAAGATGAGTAGGCCAATAGTCACCAGTTCATAGATACCTCCAAAAGATTAATTAAGACTGTCCAAAGCCCATTAAAAATGGGTTCAATAACAAAAATCATATTGAAACACAATCCGATACCTATATTTTAGGAATATTTTATGATTCACATTACAGCAAGGAAAAAACAACCAGAAGAGATTATATGTCAATATCTATAAAAGTATTCATATCATTCCACTTCTTTTCTTTAATGTCATCTCTAACAGACCAGAAGAAGGTGTGGCAGCAATGTAATGTGACTTCTTTAAAGAACAATCGCGACTTTATCTGACAGCATTGTTATTATTTGTGTGCCTTAACTGAAGTCTTAAGCACTAGTAGAGATGAAAAATATCTATTACCTGTGACCCAAATGATGGAAAAAGACTACATCTTATATCACAAGATTCAGAATCTGAGCAGCAAGCAAAAGTGTTCACGTTGACAAATTGAAGGTAGACTAATAGCAAACATCAAACTAGTAGTAGCTAAAAGAAGTAAATATCTTGTACCTCTGATCTACAATGCGCTTTTCAGATTTTGTCACAGAACTAGCAAGAGATTCTGTCAAGACTTTCAACTTGTCAATCTGCACATGCAAACAAAACAAGTCACAATTGGCCAGGCAAATAGCTGGAAAATGGTATTTCGAGTTTCTGAAATATGCTCCGTAGTTCTACATGAAAATCTGCGAAGAAATATGCATCCCACATCCGCTACCCTGTCAGCCAAGGCATGAATTTAAAACTATAACTTTGCTCTTTAGTACATCGACTTTGCAGTATTCCAACCAGAACAGCTCTAAGACCAAGGACTGATGAATCTCCACAAATATAATATTATAATTTGCAGGTTTAACTACATTTGCATATTTTCGAAGGAATGGACATGATCTCTTGAATGGAAATATCTTCAATACCTTGTGGGCATGAATCTCTGGAGTGTCTCCAAAGGTTAAACTTTTCTTTCTCAATAAAAGCCCTTCCAGTCTTGAACAAGTTCGAATTTGAGCTAATGCTTCCTTGAGAGCCTGCAGAAACAGGATCGACACATTTGGTTCACCAATTTCGCTGATTGATGTGCAGTAAGTGAGTAAATACTTACAGAAAGACACACCAATGGAAAATATATACATAAAATAACTATACCTCAGTATTACATTTAATGCATACTTGCACATATGTATCTCACCCTGATAGCTAGATTTTAAGGATCATTGCATTCAGACTCACCTCTATAGCTTCATTAGTGGCACTATCAGATTGTTTGTCCTCGGTTTCATTTGTGGGCTTTCCCTGCACAGTTATCCCATCAAGTTTGTTTTTGAGGTCAACTGCTTCAGCATCAATTCTGTGATCGCAAAACATAGGTGACAAAAGAGTGAGAGTCGTCAGACACCTCATTCACATCACAGTAAATTCAATTTTATGTTTCTTTCATGAAGCTGATCGAGATAATTATTACCGAAGAAAAGATGAGTTCAGAAAGTACAGGGAAGCCACATAGATGCAGTGAGGATAAAAGAAAAAACGAAAGAGATGAAAAAGAAAACAAAGACTATCCAAATTCAAGTTTACTTAGAATAAAGAATCAATTTGATGAAATCAGAATAATGGATGTCTGAAATGGCAAGAACTTGATACATTGTGTACTTTATCCATATCCACAAAGCAGAGAAATTTTTCAGGCAAACTCACACCATCAACATCGGTAAAACAGAAATGGAAGTGCAGCACGTGGCATAAGGTGTATATTTTGATGAAGCTATTAATTAGCAGCACCTTCAATGCATAGCTAAAAGCAAAAGATCTCTTGTCCATACGTACCTGACCATCTCAGCATTAATCTTCAACCCTGTAATGGCACCTTGCACAAATTGAAGCAATTCCTCCCTTTTGACCTGGAAAGTCGTCAGCAGGATTAGAAAACCAACATAGCAATCTTCAACTCCAGTCTAAAGAGGTAACATCTCAGGCGTGAATTGAAGGCACAACAAACTTAATTGCTTTGCTCCTGATTCAAGGTAGAACAAAACCAAAAATATTGCAGAAAAAGTAAGGGTTACTATAATACTCTTGCTTCTTTTGCTCCATCATTACACGTAAATAGCGAGATCAAGGTTGGAAAGAAACCATAGCAATATAAAATCCGAGTTAAAAGAGGAAACAGCGACTCAGTCAAAAATTGAATACACAACTCCAAGAAATTTGATTGCTTTCATCGAGAATCATTGTGGGTGCTCAGATCCATCCATCGGCTCCTCTAAAAGAAGAACAAAAACAAACCTAGAGCACAAAGAACAAAGAGTTAAGACTACTTTAGTCCTCTTAGACTAGTTGTTTCCTGTTTTTATATCATTTCACATAAACAATGAGTTCCAGGTTATTCATTTCTTCTCCTATCAAGCTGGCTTCCGATAGATTTTGTTTTGCCAATAAAATAACAGTTCCAAGAGGCACAATAACCAATCAGGTTTTATATAACCACTGCCAAACATGAGTTCATGATTCTATCACTAAGCAATCTTTAAGAGAGTGGATGGTTCAAAAAATTCACAGTAGAGTGTTTGTATTCAGAAACTCAGTATACTCCTTCATACCAGCACTTCCTCTTTGTATTTTGTAAAAACCGTAGCCAGATCCTGGATGCTGCTCAGTATTGCAATGTGCACTTCCTTTCCTCCAGTTAGACAAAGACTGGAAACAGCACAATGCAATAAGTCAGAATCAGACAAGCTGAGACTGCCTTGATTACTGGACACTTCAACCCATAAAATGAAAATCCAGACAAAGGCAGTGTTCTGATAAACTGAGACAAAATTTGATCATTTCCTCAGAAATTCCAAAACGATAAACATCTTGAAGTCCATAGTACGCAAGAGATCAAAATCTACTCTGTAGGTTGAATATATCAAAGCAAAACCACAAATAGCCACCGGGATCATACCATAAAATAACAACCATAAAGGATAGAAACCTACCCAAACAACTCCAGTAACAAAGCAATTTCATCTTCATTTGGTGAGTGAAGGATCTGAACCACATAAAAATATAGCAGGGTACCATGATCAGTAAGCACTTCAGCACATATTTTAAGCATAAAGCACTTAGTCCCCACTCATGCACTATCATATTCAGGAAGATATAACTATAAATCACTTCGATATATTAGCACATAATTTGTCCTAACTCATTATCCTAATTGACAAGTTTAAACACATGTAGCAAATTTCCTATGCATAGAAGTAGAGTTTTCTTTATGAGGTTTTCCTTTGTTATGCTAACTGAAGCCTGAAAACTATTCCAACAGATACCAAAATTGCCAACGTGACCAGATTTTGGTAAAGAGCATCTACTAGCGGGGAACCAGATTTGGAATGCTGTCTTCCAGTTGTCACAGTATAGTAGTGCATTACACTCCAGAACTTCCTTTCTTTCAACATTGCTACTGCGTTACCAGACAGTAACAGTTCCAAGAAAACAAAGAAATTTTTAATTCACTTGCATTTCTTGTTATTAATCTCGCTTTCTTAAACACATGTCACAAGCTCTTAAACAGAAGCAAAATCAATTTGCCATACCATGGATAATGTTATGCCCTCCAAAGCCTGACTTTGCAGGAAAATGTCACGGAAAGGGAGCGGTTCGCCACCAACATCAGCATCATAGTACAAAATCTATATTTTATGCGCAGAAAGTTAGGTTGATGACACAATAGAGAGGTTTTTCATTAAGTAAGCTCAACTTAGAAACAGAAGATGGGGGGAAAAAAGTCTTCTGGTCAGATATCAGATTCTTCAAATATCAGAAAAGGTTCAATCGGAATAACTTTTGCATACCGTGTTCACTTTTCTCGGACCTTCTCTTGCATCATCAGGCAGAAGGTACTGCTCCAAAGACTTGAGTTTATTATCTTCCGATGAACCTGCCGCCGATTTCTCAGCTTCTTTAAGCACAGCCAGCCATCTTCTCATTAACAAGGCTCTCTCTTGGCCCCTACAGGAAACCGCTGCCTCTTCCAATCTCTTAATTGTTTGCTTAGCACTTTTAAAGTTGCGAGTGGCCTGCATTGAGAGGGAAGCTCAGAAAAATTCTCACAACTTGAAACCAAGATAAAACAGAATCTAATCAGAATCAGAAGTTCAAGGTTACTGGTACAGTTTAACAGGACAAGCTCATGTTGCAACATCAAACAACTAACAATACCAAGCACCTCAACTTCAAATCTTCCTATTCCGGAACGCAATACATTAAAATAAAGCAAAAGGGATCTAAAAACAGCTAGTGAAGAACCCTTCTCGCTAAAGCAAAATATCTAAGCCGTGACAGAAAGTCAAATGCTTACAGTAGTAAGGAGCAAGACACTGACGAACCCTAAACAGATAGAACTATACATTCGACAACGCAATGAATCAAACCAAATACAACTTCAGACGAAGATCCAACCCCGTCCAAATTGGAAAAAAGTAAGAAAGTGAAGAGAGAGAGAGAGAGAGAGAAAGGTCCTTACAATGCGATCCTGCAAGATTTTGGCTCCACCGGCGACGGCCTGACCAGCCTGGTGAACGACGGTGTCTGCATAGTTCTTGACGGCGCGAGTGAGGTTGTTCTTGTTCCCAACCTCCACCGCCTTGCTCACAGCCGATTTCAGCCACGACATTTTCGGGGAGGGGTTCGCCAGTTCTCCTCTTCAGAAGAAGAAGAACACGACGATTACGGCGGCAATCGGAGAAATGGCGATGCAGTCGCAAACTGTTTGCGAAACTCCGACTAAGGAAGGGTTGGCGGCGACTCCGTGCAATTTACTTTAATGAGAATTTTTTTAGATTCCCGAGGGGTTTAAAGAGTTGAAGAAGAGACAAGGGGGAAGGAAAGGAAGAAGACGGAGAAGTTTCAGCGAGCAGAGGAGAAATGTTAGGATGTGGCCTGTTTTAGACAGCGGCCGGTGCAACGGTGAGACGTTCGTTTCTGCTACAAAACTATGTCGTTTGGGTCCCTTTCCTACTCGAACGTGGTGTCACGTAGTAGTCTCCGTGGGTGAGACATTAAATTAAATTAATTTCTATTTCTATTTTTTTAATTTCTATTTCTATTATTACTTATTTTTTCAAGAAAGGGTGTATATATTGGGGCAAGCCCACCCAGGCTGGATCGTATTAAAAATATATCATATACAAGCCCAGGCCCAGACCAAAAAGCCCACGACATAGTTTTGTAGAAGAAACGTATGTTGCCCACCCGACCAGAAGGTGGATCAGATCATGCCATTAAGCTCCGTTTCTGATGTACTAGAGTAACATGGTGCCTTCAAGCAATATCCACCATCAATGGCGATTGATTTTGTTTGTCCATTTCTTCATCATCTGCCCTCGAATTCGTTACCAACTCCAGTATCGTTTGATTACTTCGATTTCGTAGATCATTAGAAGAAGAAGATGATAATTGAATTGGATGAGATACAGGGTATGAAGGGATTTCATTTTCGGATTTGTGGAGGATCTGATCGTTGGAACTGGAACCAATCTTGGGGTTGTTTGAAAGTTGTGATTCTTCAAATTGATGTATTGGGACAATTAGTGTATTATCATTTGATGGATTGAATCAATTAATGTATTAGGTAAATATCTTGTTTGGAGGTTTAGATTGTGTTTTGTTCCAAATGTAAAAAAGTTAGTATTGAGTGATTGTGAAGAATCTCAACAAAAAGTAGAGATTGTAAATCCCTCAATATTGAGTGATTGTGGTGGGGCCTCCAAAAAGTAAAAGCATGTATTCTAGTTCTATATAAACCAAAAAAAACGACTTAATCTCACAAATACATGAATTAGATCAATACACCATTTGAAATCACAACTTCCAAACGAAACCTAAGTAATCTCATTGCTGAAGTTGAGCCTTACCTCTCAACTTTTTCACTTACACATTCAACTGTTTCTGCTTGAGATTTAGATACGACCAAATTAGCTAGAGAAGTGCTTCTACAGACAGCAAGAAAAAGCTCAAGCCAACTCTGTTTTAGCATCGACAAAACTGAGAGTCGAAAAGGTATTACCATGATCAGAAGCAACAATCACAATCAAATGGGCAAAGTGAGGAACCTCCACCTTCAGATTTACCGAGACCCAATTCTTCCTCCGTGTAAATGGTAAGACCATCTGCAGTTTTTCTCCGCCCATTACCAGGCCTATCTGCAAATCTTCTCTCTTGCTCCTCGACGCTTCTCTTCTTCATCCCCTTCTTGTCTGTAAGTTCCGTTTTCTTCGATTCATCTGGTATCGTCCCATCAACCTTTTCTTGGCTTTGGGTTTTCCTCTTCTTCCCAGCAAAGATCAAATCGATTTCATTCACCGGCTTTTTTTTCTTCGTGACAGAAGATTCGTTTTGGTTCACCCCATCCGACTTGCCTTGGCTCTGGACTTTCCTCTTCTTCCCAGCAAAAATTTCGTCAATTTCGTTCACCACAGGCTGTTTCTTTGCACCAGTAGGTTTTCCCTGCTGTACTTTTCCATCAAATGATTCTTGAGGTTTTGAAGGTGCTTTCAAAGATCCCTTCTTTGGCATGTTGAATCAACTCTGCAGTTTGCTACTTGTAATTAGAGTAACCCACCGAGAGAAACCAGAAAGACCACTGCTCAAAAATGAAATTCATCAAGATCGATCATTCTCATGGACCAAAGAGCTCGCTCACAGCGAAATCACAGGATGGCGCGACACTAAACCTTCAGCACGGGCAAGAGGAAAACTAAAAACCTCTCCCACATTGGTTGTTGTAGAGCCTCATCTAACACTTACATAAATCAATGTCTAGCTAGTTGTCCAGAGGAACCAAGAAAAACAATTTTGTCAGTTAAGCAGACCACAAAGCAACTGAGCATAACCATGGCAGTTCTGTGTAGCACCATATCGCTTGTAAATCATCCACAAACACGACCGAGGTAGCTAGTAAGCAACCAGTTCAAAGAGTTCAGCACAATGCCATAACAAGAAATGGGCAGGGTGAAATAGAAACTGAGACAACAGGAACAAACAAACAGCACAAACCCACAACAGACTTGGTGATTTTGACGCCTAACTAGAAATGGCCGCCGATGCTTCCTTGAAGGAAACTCAAGTAGAATGCACCCTATAGTGTAATCGGAAGGATTCTGAAAACCTAGAACTACGAAAGGCCGACGAAGAGCAAGCAGCACAAACAGCAGCGCGCAATTAACTAAACCCTATAAAACTAGCAATTAGACCGATGAATACTTTTACACCATCAAAGTGATTGAAGTGGGACCAGAGGAAGGGAGAGCGGATCTTACCTCAAGAAATCCGGCGACGGTGGGGAGTTGAGGAACAAAACCCAGAAGACAAGGGTGCGGCGGCGTGAGGATTAGCAGGAATTTAGAGAAGGAAGCGTTGGAGAAAGCAACGGCGATAGACGGACGAACGGAGGCGGCGAAGAATGAACGAGAGAATTCGACGATGCGGCGTCTGCTTATTGCTCGTTCTCCACCGTAGGATAGGGAAGGGGGGGAAAACAGATCTAGTTTCGTTGTTGGGCTCCCAATACCGTTAGCCCATCAACCTTCAACTATCCCAGAATTTTCTGACAAAAATGGGCCGAGACCCACCAAGGGCTTGAGGACTGAGGTTCTTCATTTCTTCTTCAACAGTAGAATTAGCTGTGAGTTGTGACAATCCCCCGCCATTGGGGAGGATGACAATATGTGCAAGTTAATGTAGATTTTTCCAAAAATAGCACTGTTTTAAAAAAAAAATCCAAAAATAGGACCCAACTTCGAAAAATTCCAAAAATAGCACCATTTTTGTAAAACCGCCACTCGGAGGTGCGTTTTTCGATGAAAACCGCACTGGTAGGGAGCGGTTTTGCAGACCGCACCCCCAGGGTGCGTTTTGGTTGCAAACCGCACCCCTAGGGTGCGCTCTGCCTTTTTTTTTTTTTTTTGAAAAATCCTAACTTAGGTGGAAACTTCAAACGAACGTATCTTTATGTTCGGGTATCCGATCGTCGCGATTTTGTTTTTTGATTCCGCATAAATTTTTGAGATCTTGCAAGCCGAAGACTGCCAAAGGTGGTTTGGTCTCACCTTCGTCCCAAAAAATGTCGCTTGCTACCCTAAACGAACTTTTTTCCGATTTCGTCAAACTTTGGACAACCATAACTTTGTGCTCCAAAATCCAAACGCCATGAATTTTTTTTTATTGTAGTCCTTAAAAAGTTATACGAAATATAAAAAAAATCATGCCGTTTGGATTTGGAGCACAAAGTTACGGTTGTCCAAAGTTTGACGAAATCGGAAAAAAACTCGTTCGGGGTAGCAAACGACATTTTTTGGTACGAAGGCGAGACCAAACCACCATTGGCAGTCTTCGGCTTGCAAGATCTCAAAAAGTTATGCGGAATCAAAAAAAAAATCGCGACGATCGGATACCCGAACATAAAGATACGTTCGTTTGAAGTTTCCACCTATGTTAGGATTTTTCAAAAAAAAAAAAAGACAGAACGCACCCTGGGGGTGCGGTTTGCAACCAAAACGCACCCTGTGGATGCGGTCTGCAAAACCGCTCCCTACCAGTGCGGTTTTCATCGAAACACGCGCCCTCGGGTGGCGGTTTTACAAAAATGGTGCTATTTTTTGAATTTTTCGGAGTTGGGTGCTATTTTTGAATTTTTTTTTTTAAACAGTGCTATTTTTGGAAAAATCTCCAAGTTAATGTACATTCGTTAAGTATAGTGTATAGAAGCATCTGAAAAACTATGCGATCACAATTCACAAAGTGCATGATGATTATTTTGTAGATAAATCGTCACCACATAATTGGGAAATTTTTTTTCATCCCTCTCGTTACCAACTCCATACCATATGATATCTCTTTCGTTGTTTAGTCATTTTCAGAAATTTTTGCACAAAAGGAACGATTTAATCATGATCTATTGGATTTCAAAATTTTATGGGGAAAAAAATTTCAAACCTCTCGTTACCAACTCCATACCATACTATACCACACTGGTATGAGGTGGTATTTTTCATACCATATGGTATGCTGTTATTTAATACCAGTCAATACCATATGGTATAGACTGGTAATAACTGACAACTTTCTTTTGTTCCAAAAAATATCAAAGTAGATATCATTTTGAAGAGCACAATTAATCTGATCTAACTGTGCAAAAAAAAATTAAATTCCGAATTAAAACGAGTGAGAAATTGTCTGTGAAAGATTAATGGAAAGAAAATTAATGGTTTTTCCAGGAGAGAGAAAGAGGCACTGATGTGACAGATTCTTATTGGGTTATGTATGGAGTTACTCATCGGATCTCTGCTCCCTCAAGTTATGGTGCATATTGCATAACCATGGGTTATGCATCCATCAATAACCAAATCTGGACCCTTCATTTAGAAAATCCAGATCTAAGGATGGAGAATTAAAGGTCATTTTTATTTTCACTAGCTTTCTTAATTGACTCATATCTTTTTCGTTTTAACTCGGATTTTAATTTTTTTTTTGCACAGATGGAACGAGTTCATCGTGCTCTACAAAATGAGATCAATTTTCAATATTTTTTGAGGAAAAAATAATTATGGCCTCTCGGTACCAACTGCATACCATATGGTATCTTCTTCGTTTTTAATTCGTTTTTGAAAACGTTTGCACAGCAAGGACGAGTTCATCATGATCTATTGGATCTACAAATTTATGGGTGAACAAACTACAAAACAAAAAAATACCACACAATACCATATAATACCACCCTGGTACGGGGTGGTATCTTATGGTGTACAATGTTAAAAGTCGTAAATGACCATTAATATACTTCTACTATCATGTATTCAATCATCCTACAGTTTTGGTTTGTGTCATACCACCATGGTACGCTTTTCAAACCATAGGTATGCTCTTATTTCAATACCAGTCAATACCATATGGTATAGACTGGTAAAAAATGGCTCAATTTTTTTTGTTCGAAAAATATATCAAAGATATCATTTTGAAGAGCACAATTAATTTGATCTAACTGTGCAAAAAAAAATTAAATTTCGACTTAAAACGAGTGAGAAATCGTCCGTCAAAGATTAAGGAGGGGAAAATTAAAGGCTTTCCAGGAGAGAGAGAGGATGCTGATGTCATGCTGATGTGAGCGGGTTACTCATAGTTACTCACCATAAGATATGGGTTATGCACCCAGGACCCTTCATTTAGAAAATCCAGGTCTAAGGATGGAGAATTAAATGCCATTTTTATTTTCACTAGTTTTCTTAATTGACTCATATCTTTTTCGTTTTAACTCGGATTTTAATTTTTTTTGCACAGATGGAACGAGTTCATCGTGCTCTACAAAATGAGATCAATTTTCAATATTTTTTGAGGAAAAAAAAATTCTGGCCTTTCGGTACCAACTGCATACCATATGGTATTTTCTTCGTTTTTCATTCGTTTTTGAAAACGTTTGCACAGAAGGGACGAGTTCATCATGATCTATTGGATCTACAAATTTTTGGGTGAACAAATTACAAGACCAAAAAATACCACACAATACCATACAATACCACCCTGGTACGGGGTGGTATTTTATGGTATACAATGTTAAAAGTCGTAAACGACAATTAATATACTTCTACTATCATGTATTCAATCATCCTACAGTCTTGGTTTGTTCATACCACCATGGTACGCTTTACAACCCATAGGTATGCTCTTATTTCAATACCAGTCAATACCATATGGTATAGACTGGTAAAAAATGGCTCAATTTTTTTTGTTCGAAAAATATATCAAAGTGAATATCATTTTGAAGAGCACAATTAATCTGATCTAACTGTGCAAAAAAAAATTAAATTTCGACTTAAAACGAGTGAGAAATCGTCCGTCAAAGATTAAGGAGGGAAAAATTAAAGGCTTTCTAGGAAAGAGAGGATGCTGATGTCATGCTGATGTGGGCGGGTTACTCATAGTTACTCACAATAAGGTTACTGACCTGATCCATTCCCGATAAAATAGGCTGTAAATGAGAAAGTATGGTTTAGCCCCACATACTCATATAGTCATACTCATACCCACCCTCACAAAGAATATTTCGATATATATAGTTTTTAGCCATGTACTAATAAATGTTGTGGAACTGAATGTTTTGAATTTGAATCAACAACGAATAACTTTTGTTGAATTTATGATTTATTAGCTTAATTTGATATCATAACAGGAAAAATACATGTGTTAGCAAGTTGCATTGTCTTAATCCTACTGTTAATAACATTAGATATAAGACCGATATCATCCGCGTGTATTCTAAAATCACGGTAAGAAAATTACTCCTCGCGTGAATACGAGGCGAGAATGAATTTACACGCTTCTATAAGTAAAAAAATAAAGATGATTAGTAAAACTCGTTCCATCGCCATCCTAGTCATACTCGGATTGGACAAAGTGAACTACTATGGTTGGTCTAGCTCGTGCCAACAACCCAACCTTCGGCTCAGAAGTCCGCAGCTACCTACCACAAAGCCCACAAACCCATCCCACGTGTGGGACCCACTCCCAGCGGCCCGTCCAGAAGCCCATTAACTCCATCCATACCAGTCCCAAAATCTAACCCTCTATTCTCGAAAAATCACAACCATGCCACCCACCCTTCCAGCCTAACCGCCATCGCTGCTTCCCTATAAAAAAAAAAAAACTGAAATCCAGACCATCTCAGAAAAATCCCCACAAAAAAACATTATTACAAAATTAAGAATCTGCGAGACGCCATGGTCGATCCACCGCAGGAAATCGGAGGAACGATTCAAAGCATTAACGGCGATACAAATACGCCTCATCAATCGTCGCATCCACTGTCGGTCGCCGACATCCACGTCGACGGCGTGACATTCCCCGCCTCCGTCGCCCCGCCGCCGGCGTCCAAGCTCTCTCACTTCCTCGGCGGTGCTGGTATGAACATATTATCCCCCCCCAAAAAAAAGAAAAAAAAAATTCATTCCTTCTTAGTTATCGCAAAATTGTGGCGTTAGTTTGTTTTGTTTGTTTGTGGAATGACTGAAGGCGTGAGGGGACTGGAGATTGAAGGCAATTTCGTGAAGTTCACGGCGATTGGAGTGTACGTAGAGGACACGGCGGTGTCGGTGCTGGCTGCAAATTGGAAGGGGAAAACCGCCGAGGAGCTCAACCTCGCCGTCGGATTCTTCCGCGACATCGTTTCAGGTCAGTCCTACTAATTCTTTCACTTCACATTTTTCAAGCATAAAGTTAAAATCGTAAGCTTGTAAGTTTTAAAGCGTGATTTTGTCCGGTGATTCTAAGTAGAAGTATTTCTGCAAGCTAAAAGCGTAAATTTTTAAAATTTAAAACGCGATCTAATTCGATTGTGAGGTGGTTTGGTGCGAAAAGAGTTTCTTTCTTCCCTCTGTTCTGCCCTTTCTGTCCAGCTCTTCGCTGCTACCTGTAAATTGCTGCAATTGAGCCCTCCTCTAAGTAATTGAAACTTGATGTAATCAGGACCATTCGAGAAGTTCACAAGGGTGACGATGATCCTGCCGTTATCAGGCGCACAGTACTCAGAGAAAGTGGTGGAGAATTGCGTGGCGGCATGGAAAGCCAGAGGAGTTTACACCGACGCAGAGGCTAAAGCCACCGAGAAATTCCTCGAAGTCTTCAAAGATCAAAACTTTCCTCCTCGAGCCTCCATTCTCTTCACCCAATTCCCCCAAGGATCGCTCGCTGTGAGTCACAACTCGCACACCCAAATAAGCCATAAGCTACACTGTAAACTTTGTCGTGTAAGCTAACGGAAGAGGAATTGTTGAACTTTTTGTTTTTTCAGATAAGCTTCTCCAAGGACGGGTCGGTGCCGGAGACTGCGGTGGCGGTGATAGACAACAAGCCGCTCTCGGAGGCGGTGCTGTGGTCGATCATCGGTGATCACGGCGTGTCCCCTGCTGCGAAACAGAGCTTGGCCGAGAGGTTTTCCGGGTTGCTCAAGGATTGAGACGAACGAGTGGATGATTTGATGTTTGACGCTTTGGGGTTTTTTGGTTTGTTATCGTGAATTAGCTAGCGGGCAGACTTTCATGTTGTTGTTTATTAATAATGATCAAATCTAAGCTTCCCCTGCCAAAACTCCATGCGCCTGTTTCAAGGTACTCTGTTTTCTTCACTACATTGGCAGTGGTGTTCGTTGAGTTTTTAATCCAAAATCTGTTGTCTGTGAGATCCATGGCTGAGGAAATCAGACAAAAACCAAACAATTCCGGTGATCAACACTCGTGTTTCGGCTATCACTAAGGCCTGTGGTCTAGACTAGTGACCTCCATTGCACTTGAGGAGGGGGTGCTGGGTTAAGGTCTTCCCAATATAGAAGAGCCTACGTCATAGCTCCTAACCAATTCAAAGTTTAACATTTTTTATATGTTTTATTCACAGCATGCTCTTGCTGCAATAGTTCTTTATGCTGTGATTGGCCTGTTGAGTGAACTAATACATAGAAGCAATATGTTAACGTTATGGTTTGCAGAGAAGCATGAATGAGCATCGAACAGTTTAATTCATGCTATATTTTAGTCTTCAGATGGTAAGTGTTCCTATGTATTAATGTATCTACTAGAATTGAGACATAACAATTCTGACAATACCACTAACTCAAATTGTTGGCGGCTGTTGGTGATTTCTTGTGGAGAATGAGGAGTCGATCTTCTTATGGCTAGGTGATGTAGTGTTTGGTCGTACATAAGATAGGAAATAAGTTGGAGGAGTATAGGAGTACCACATCGATGAGCAAAGGAAGTTTAGAAGGAGAAATAAGTATAAAATAGAGTTGGGTGCAACTGTCCAGCATACTTACCTGGACGGGATCTACAGGCGGTCAATAAAACATGTGGTCTAAATTAGTGACCTCCATTGCACTTTAGGAAGGGCATTGAGCTAAGGTCTCCCCATTGTGGGAGAGCCTACGTCATAATTTATGGCAGAGGTGGCATGCGTTCGCGCAGCCCCTACTCAATTCGAAGTTCAATTCTTTCTGGGATCAACCCATCATTTTTGCAATTATTCTATGGGCTGGCTCGTCGTGTACAATCCATTGGATTTGCTAATCTAGATTATGGACTCCACACATTTGAATAAACTATCCGGCTAATGTGATTTTTTTAATGAATCATGAGTTAATATTTACGTTGCATGTTAGTCACAGCCAAAAATGACTATGATATTTTGCTTTGTCTAAACTATCTCGAGATTAATCTACTAATAATGTTTTCACGTTTCAGAAAATTGTCGCCAAATGTTGGTAATTTCAGGTAGAGAATGAGGAGTCGATCTTCTTATGGCCAGGGGATGTAGTGCTTGGTGGTACATAAGATAGGAGATAAGTTAGAGGAGTATAGGAATAACACATCACTAAACAAAGGAAATTTAGAAGGAGAAAGGAGTATAAAAAAAGAGTTGGGTGCAACCATTCGACATACTTACCTGGACGGGATCTACAGGCGATCAATAAGACCTGTGGTCTAGACCAATGACCTCCATTGCACTTCGGGAGGGGTGTTGGGCTAAGGTCTCCCCAATGTGGGAGAGCTGTTATAAACGCGCTGCTACGGATCGGGAAATCGCCGGGATCGACAAAGCAAGAATACGAAAGTGAGAATCGAAAACACGACACACGATTTACGTGGTTCACTAACACGATGTGTGTTAGCTACGTCCACGGGCGAGAGAGAGCCGATTTCACTATATCAAGGAGATTACATATTACAGATTACAGAGGAGTATGAGAAGTATTTATAGTACTTCTCCATGTGGGTCTAAACCTAATCCAATCTGCCAAAGGAAACGGTTACAGACCAGGCCCAGAACCCGAACCCAAATAACATTGAGCCCATACACCGTGGGCCGGGGGCGTTGCCCCCGCACCCCCACTGGGGCGTTGCCCCTGGACCCCACTCGCTGACCGGTCAGCGAGACCCCCGATTACCAGTCGTAGCGGCTGATAATCCGATTCAAGTCATATCAACAAGAGCCTACGTCATAATTTATGGCAGCGGAGGCCTGCGTTCGCGCGGCCTCTACCCAAGTTTTAGTTCAATTCTTTTTGGCTTTAGTCCATAAAGTTTGCAATTATTCTAATGGTTGGCTTATCGTCTATAGTCCGTGGGATTACAAGTCTAGATTATGGATTCCACACATTTGAATCAAGTATCGGGCTAATGCGATTTTTTTTTATGGATCCTGAATTAATATTTACGTTGCATGTTAATCACAACCAAAAAATGGATATGATCTTTTGCTTTGTCTAACTATCTCGAGATTAATCTACTGATAATATTTTCATGTTTGAGAAAACAAAAAGGATCTAGCCACAATCTACACGTTGTGAGAAGATGTACGAACATGGTGTGGTTTTCTAAAATGTATTTACTCTAAAGTTTATGTTCACCAAACGCCATTATCTGTGGCCATTGAATTGTTGGTTGAAGTGTACATTTTAAAATTTAGTATTTCATCACTTGGTGAACTCAAATAACTTTTTTCAGATATATTTTTCCTTTTCTGCATGCATGTTTTAATTAGCAGTCAATGCCCCTGTTTAAATCCATGCCCCTCTTTCAATCAAACCAATTGGTTGAAGCAATATGTCAACGTTATGCTTTGCAGAGAAGCATGCATGGACATTGGACAGTTTAATTCATACTACATTTAGGCCTTAAGATAGTAAGAATTCCTAACTTCCTATGCATTAGTGTATCTACTAGAATCGAGACCTAAAATTATAACAATACCACTACCTCAAATTGTCGGCAAATGTTGGTAATTTCAGGTAGAGAATGAGGAGTCGATCTTCTTATGGTCAGGGGATGTAGTGTTTGGTGGTACATAAGATAGGAGATAAGTTAGAGGAGTATAGGAATACCACATCGCTAAACAAAGGAAATCTAGAAGGAGAAAGGAGTATAAAAAAAGAGTTGTGTGCAACCTTTCGACATACTTACCTGGACGGGATCTACAGGCGATCAATAAGACCTGTGGTCTAGGCCAGTGACCTCCATTGCACTTCGGGAGGGGTGTTGGGCTAAGGTCTCCCCAATGTGGGAGAGCCTACGTCATAATTTGTGGCAGCGGAGGCCTGCGTTCGCGCGGCCTCTACCCAACTTTTAGTTCAATTCTTTTTGGCGTTAGTCCATAAAGTTTGCAATTATTCTATTGGTTGGCTTATCGTCTATAGTCCGTGGGATTACAAGTCTAGATTATGGATTCCACACATTTGAATCAAGTATCGGGCTAATGCGATTTTTTTTATGGATCCTGAATTAATATTTACGTTGCATGTTAATCACAACCAAAAAATGGATATGATCTTTTGCTTTGTCTAACTATCTCGAGATTAATCTACTGATAATATTTTCATGTTTGAGAAAACAAAAAGGATCTAGCCACAATCTACACGTTGTGAGAAGATGTACGAACATGGTGTGGTTTTCTAAAATGTATTTACTCTAAAGTTTATGTTCACCAAACGCCATTATCTGTGGCCATTGAATTGTTGGTTGAAGTGTACATTTTAAAATTTAGTATTTCATCACTTGGTGAACTCAAATAACTTTTTTCAGATATATTTTTCCTTTTCTGCATGCATGTTTTAATTAGCAGTCAATGCCCCTGTTTAAATCCATGCCCCTCTTTCAATCAAACCAATTGGTTGAAGCAATATGTCAACGTTATGCTTTGCAGAGAAGCATGCATGGACATTGGACAGTTTAATTCATACTACATTTAGGCCTTAAGATAGTAAGAATTCCTAACTTCCTATGCATTAGTGTATCTACTAGAATCGAGACCTAAAATTCTAACAATACCACTACCTCAAATTGTCGGCAAATGTTGGTAATTTCAGGTAGAGAATGAGGAGTCGATCTTCTTATGGTCAGGGGATGTAGTGTTTGGTGGTACATAAGATAGGAGATAAGTTAGAGGAGTATAGGAATACCACATCGCTAAACAAAGGAAATCTAGAAGGAGAAAGGAGTATAAAAAAAGAGTTGTGTGCAACCTTTCGACATACTTACCTGGACGGGATCTACAGGCGATCAATAAGACCTGTGGTCTAGGCCAGTGACCTCCATTGCACTTCGGGAGGGGTGTTGGGCTAAGGTCTCCCCAATGTGGGAGAGCCTACGTCATAATTTGTGGCAGCGGAGGCCTGCGTTCGCGCGGCCTCTACCCAACTTTTAGTTCAATTCTTTTTGGCGTTAGTCCATAAAGTTTGCAATTATTCTATTGGTTGGCTTATCGTCTATAGTCCGTGGGATTACAAGTCTAGATTATGGATTCCACACATTTGAATCAAGTATCGGGCTAATGCGATTTTTTTTATGGATCCTGAATTAATATTTACGTTGCATGTTAATCACAACCAAAAAATGGATATGATCTTTTGCTTTGTCTAACTATCTCGAGATTAATCTACTGATAATATTTTCATGTTTGAGAAAACAAAAAGGATCTAGCCACAATCTACACGTTGTGAGAAGATGTACGAACATGGTGTGGTTTTCTAAAATGTATTTACTCTAAAGTTTATGTTCACCAAACGCCATTATCTGTGGCCATTGAATTGTTGGTTGAAGTGTACATTTTAAAATTTAGTATTTCATCACTTGGTGAACTCAAATAACTTTTTTCAGATATATTTTTCCTTTTCTGCATGCATGTTTTAATTAGCAGTCAATGCCCCTGTTTAAATCCATGCCCCTCTTTCAATCAAACCAATTGGTTGAAGCAATATGTCAACGTTATGCTTTGCAGAGAAGCATGCATGGACATTGGACAGTTTAATTCATACTACATTTAGGCCTTAAGATAGTAAGAATTCCTAACTTCCTATGCATTAGTGTATCTACTAGAATCGAGACCTAAAATTCTAACAATACCACTACCTCAAATTGTCGGCAAATGTTGGTAATTTCAGGTAGAGAATGAGGAGTCGATCTTCTTATGGTCAGGGGATGTAGTGTTTGGTGGTACATAAGATAGGAGATAAGTTAGAGGAGTATAGGAATACCACATCGCTAAACAAAGGAAATCTAGAAGGAGAAAGGAGTATAAAAAAAGAGTTGTGTGCAACCTTTCGACATACTTACCTGGACGGGATCTACAGGCGATCAATAAGACCTGTGGTCTAGGCCAGTGACCTCCATTGCACTTCGGGAGGGGTGTTGGGCTAAGGTCTCCCCAATGTGGGAGAGCCTACGTCATAATTTGTGGCAGCGGAGGCCTGCGTTCGCGCGGCCTCTACCCAACTTTTTGTTCAATTCTTTTTGGCGTTAGTCCATAAAGTTTGCAATTATTCTATTGGTTGGCTTATCGTCTATAGTCCGTGGGATTACAAGTCTAGATTATGGATTCCACACATTTGAATCAAGTATCGGGCTAATGCGATTTTTTTTATGGATCCTGAATTAATATTTACGTTGCATGTTAATCACAACCAAAAAATGGATATGATCTTTTGCTTTGTCTAACTATCTCGAGATTAATCTACTGATAATATTTTCATGTTTGAGAAAACAAAAAGGATCTAGCCACAATCTACACGTTGTGAGAAGATGTACGAACATGGTGTGGTTTTCTAAAATGTATTTACTCTAAAGTTTATGTTCACCAAACGCCATTATCTGTGGCCATTGAATTGTTGGTTGAAGTGTACATTTTAAAATTTAGTATTTCATCACTTGGTGAACTCAAATAACTTTTTTCAGATATATTTTTCCTTTTCTGCATGCATGTTTTAATTAGCAGTCAATGCCCCTGTTTAAATCCATGCCCCTCTTTCAATCAAACCAATTGGTTGAAGCAATATGTCAACGTTATGCTTTGCAGAGAAGCATGCATGGACATTGGACAGTTTAATTCATACTACATTTAGGCCTTAAGATAGTAAGAATTCCTAACTTCCTATGCATTAGTGTATCTACTAGAATCGAGACCTAAAATTCTAACAATACCACTACCTCAAATTGTCGGCAAATGTTGGTAATTTCAGGTAGAGAATGAGGAGTCGATCTTCTTATGGTCAGGGGATGTAGTGTTTGGTGGTACATAAGATAGGAGATAAGTTAGAGGAGTATAGGAATACCACATCGCTAAACAAAGGAAATCTAGAAGGAGAAAGGAGTATAAAAAAAGAGTTGTGTGCAACCTTTCGACATACTTACCTGGACGGGATCTACAGGCGATCAATAAGACCTGTGGTCTAGGCCAGTGACCTCCATTGCACTTCGGGAGGGGTGTTGGGCTAAGGTCTCCCCAATGTGGGAGAGCCTACGTCATAATTTGTGGCAGCGGAGGCCTGCGTTCGCGCGGCCTCTACCCAACTTTTAGTTCAATTCTTTTTGGCGTTAGTCCATAAAGTTTGCAATTATTCTATTGGTTGGCTTATCGTCTATAGTCCGTGGGATTACAAGTCTAGATTATGGATTCCACACATTTGAATCAAGTATCGGGCTAATGCGATTTTTTTTATGGATCCTGAATTAATATTTACGTTGCATGTTAATCACAACCAAAAAATGGATATGATCTTTTGCTTTGTCTAACTATCTCGAGATTAATCTACTGATAATATTTTCATGTTTGAGAAAACAAAAAGGATCTAGCCACAATCTACACGTTGTGAGAAGATGTACGAACATGGTGTGGTTTTCTAAAATGTATTTACTCTAACGTTTATGTTCACCAAACGCCATTATCTGTGGCCATTGAATTGTTGGTTGAAGTGTACAATTTAAAATTAAGTATTTCATCACTTGGTGAACTCAAATAACTTTTTTCAGATATATTTTTCCTTTTCTGCATGCATGTTTTAATTAGCAGTCAATGCCCTTGTTTAAATCCATGCCCCTCTTTCAATCAAACCAATTGGTTGAAGCAATATGTCAATGTTATGCTTTGCAGAGAAGCATGCATGGGCATTGGACAGTTTATTTCATACTGCATTTAGGCCTGAAGATAGTAAGAATTCCTAACTTCCTATGCATTAGTGTATCTACTAGAATCGAGACCTAAAATTCTAACAATACCACTACCTCAAATTGTAGGCAAATGTTGGTAATTTCAGGTAGAGAATGAGGAGTCGATCTTCTTATGGTCAGGGGATGTAGTGTTTGGTGGTACATAAGATAGGAGATAAGTTAGAGGAGTATAGGAATACCACATCGCTAAACAAAGGAAATCTAGAAGGAGAAAGGAGTATAAAAAAAGAGTTGGGTGCAACCATTCAACATACTTACCTGGACGGGATCTACAAGGCGATCAATAAGACCTGTGGTCTAGGCCAGTGACCTCCATTGCACTTCGGGAGGGGTGTTGGGCTAAGGTCTCCCCAATGTGGGAGAGCCTACGTCATAATTTGTGGCAGTGGAGGCGTGCGTTCGCGCGGCCTCTACCCAAGTTTTAGTTCAATTCTTTTTGGCGTTAGTCCATAATGTTTACAATTATTCTATGGGTTGACTTATCGTGTATAGTCCGTCGGATTACAAGTCTAGATTATGAATTCCACACATTTGATTCAAGTATCGGGCTAATGGGAATTTTTTTATGGATCCTGAATTAATATTTACGTTGTATGTTAATCACAAGTTCACTACCAAAATATGGCTATGATCTTTTGCCTTTCTACTGATAATGTTAATCACAAGTTCACAACCAAACGCCATTATCTGTGGCCATGATTGTTGGTTAAAGTAGACAATTTACAATTTAGTACTTCATCACTTGGTGACCTCAAATGAGTTTTTTCAGATATATTTTCCCTTTTCTGCATGCATCCATGTTTTAATTAGCGGTCAATTGCTCTCTCACTCTTGTCAAATTACGATAATAAAACAGAAGCTGCAGCTGTAAATCTTGTCGAACAATGTCGATAGATCCAACAAATAAAAAGCACAAAAATCCGCATCTTGAGGTTGATGTTTACTGTGAAAAGCTTCGCCTGTGTTATATGAAGTGGCGGCGGCAACTACCACATATGTCTGTTTCGATGGAGATTTCAAGGACCTGCAATTAATTAAAGAAACGCATTGTAAAGTACCAAAGTTAACAATTAACTGTTTTCAGAAACCTTTTTAACCTCTCCGCCAATTTTTAACATTAGATCCCTTGTACTGGCCTTCTCCTCCTCCCTCTTAATGGAGAGTACAGTTAGCTCATCATCACGGACCCTTTTGTTTTTCTTCCTCTGTCACTTAATATTGCACAAGGCTTCTTCTCAACTAGGTACATATACCATCAACTGCTTCTTAATTACCTGCATATGCCAAAAGCTAGCCTAGTTGGTGAGACTTGTCAGGAGAATCGAGAGTTCTTGGTTTCAAATCCCGATACTAGTGTTGATTCATTTGACAGTACTTTCTAGATAGATGAAGGTCTTGCCCCCCTTGCATGGGGATTAGAGCCATTTAAGGGTTGCCTGACGAACATCCTCATTGGCCTCCACGAGCCCACTTCATGGGCGTCTAAATCGTCTGTTATGGTCCAACATGTCGGTAAGTAGCCTTATTGTAGCGTTGGTGAAAGTAACATCAAACGGTTAAAAGTCATTTCAATGTTGTCTGGCGGGCATCCTGACTCGCATCCATATATAAACCCACTCCTTAGACGTCCATACCACCTGTTATGGCCCAACATGTCAAAATTTAGCCTAGTTATCATATAGATAAGTCTAAGGCAATGAGAATTTTCTCATTAGTGAGTGACTAAGTAGCTACAATCGGTCAAACAAACCATGAGAGGAGTAACACCTGAAAGCATCAAAGATGCGGATTTATGTAAGGATCATCTTATCTCAATTTTTGGAGATACCAACGATGCTAACGTGGCTTGTATGATCCACATCCCCATATCAGACGCCCGAAAAAAGGGCCTTAAGGCTTTTGTTATAAGATGTCTTTTTCTCGGGTGTAGATGAGGGCGACAGGGTATCAACGGTGTACCTGCTTGTGGCATGTTCTATCAATAGCATCTAACCTATGTCTATTTTAGCGGACCGTGCTCCACCGCAATTCACTATCCCGGTCACGGTTTTCCTACTTCCGAGAGAAAGCCCTTCCCTTTTTTGACCGGTTGTGGGCATCGTGGGCGAGGAGAAATTCTAACACTCCAATACCATGTCATTCATAGCCATACGTAGACAAGCTCTAATCCTCTTAGCTACCGGCCCTACCCCATCTCCAGTCTCCACTGCAGTACCCTATTTGCGGCCTCATTGAAAGTAACATACTTTTTGTTATTAGAGTATGTGTAGTACGAGTAGTATTATCTAATACTATGAGTACCGTTATGTAATTTAGTATAGTTATATTCCTTATCGGACTCGTATAAGTTATGTAATTTCCGTATTAGTATTAGGGTTATTTTCATGGTCCATGAAACCGTACCGTACCGGCGGTTCAACCACAAAATACCAGTATCGGAAGCTAAACCGATAAGCGGTATTTAACGGTACTAACGGTTAAACCACGATTTTCCCATGAAAAATAGAAAACTCAAACCTACACTTGTAAATCTTGTCGAATAACTATGACGATAGATCCAACAAAAAAACAGCACACTTCACCTTACTATATAGGTTGATGTTTACTTAGAGAAAATAGTTAACTACAACATATGCTTGTTTCGATGGAGATTTCAAGGACCTGCAATTAATTAAAGAAACGCATTGTAAAAGTTAATAATCAAACAATTTTTGCAAAACCTTTTTAAATCTCCCCACCAATTTCCGTTCATTGGATCCCTTTGTTTCAGGCCTTCTCCCTCCTCCCTCTAAATGAAGACAATTAGCTCATCATCATCATGGACCCTTCTGGTTTTCTCCTCCCTCTGTCACTTACTACTACTGCAGAATGCTTCTTCTCAACTAGGTAACGTAGTACTTGTATATGATCCACGCGATTAAACCTCTCCCAACAACTCGAGTTATTCGGACCAACTGGTTATAACATTCTGTTTAATTACAGATATGCTCCAATGGACGAACATCGACTGCGGCAACGAGGACCTGCCGCCCATCGGCCTGGACCTCCTGATCTGGCACCTCGACACCAACTACACAACCACGGGGATCAAAGCCCGCCTCTCCATCCCAACGCCACGGCCGGAGCTCGACACCCTCCGCTTCTTCCCCGACGCCACCGCCCGAAACTGCTACGCCGTCCCGTCCGTGAAGCTGAGCCTCAAGTACCTGGTCCGCGCGGGGTTCTACTACGGCAACTACGACGCGTACGGGCGGCCGCCGACGTTCGACGTTCACCTCGACGGGAGGAAGTGGACGACGGTGAATACGACGACGGCGCAGGGGGCGGTGTATTACGAGGCGGTGTACGTGACTCAGGGGAAGGATGAGATCGAGCTGTGTTTGGTTCAGACGAGGCGTGGGGAGGTGCCGTTTGTGTCGTCGGTGGAGATGGTGCCGCTGTGGGATGGGTTGTATAGTGAGATGGGGAACGAGGAGAGCTTTGCGCTTGTGGCTCGGACCAACCTTGGCGGTCCCGAGATCAGGTGACTCTAATTTTTTATTTATTTTTTAATGGCATTTTCCTAATGATCATAGTTAGTAAAATACGGTACGGGAAAGTTACGTATAAAATACGTACGGGTATTATATTTCATCTCTAAGCTAAAGTTACATTTAATAGTACGGTAATAGTCATAAATATATAAAAATAATTATTTTAAAAATAAATAAATATATAAATAATATTAAAGTTAACAATTTAATTAATAAAATACGGATAATAAACGTGTTATACGGATTTTATACGTGTTTAGTACGGGAGCCATCAAATGAACGGGGGAAAATGAAACGGCTTGACAATAATACGGATACGGAAGTTTTAAACGGATAAAGTACGTACGGGTACATATACGTGTATTAAACGGAGTATTTACTAACTATGCTAATGATAGATCATGTTAGTATGAGGAGAATAGTAATTTGCATTACACAAAAGGTTCGGTCGGTGGCGGATTCAGGAAATTTTTTATAGGGGTGTCCTTTTTCAAAAATTAAATTTAATTAAATAATTCATAAATCAAAAAAATTATTTGATTAGTGAAAATATACCATATTAGACAATAATTTCCGATCCAGTCCGGTCCGGTTAAATTGGCACAAATTGATCCGGTCCAGTCCGGTCTTTTTGAAAATATAAGGACCAAAGATTGGATTGGATACGGTCTGGTCTTGATTCGGTCCTGTCCCAATTCGGTCTTGATTTTATATTGAGCTTGTGAGAATTTGAGTGGCCTAAGGCCACAAAGGGTGAGGAGTTGGTTAAGTTTTGTACTAAGTGCAAGATTTGTGACCGTTTATGCAAACTACCCTTTAAGTTTTGGGTGTTGAACTCTCTTATCCGGTGTTTATCCAGTTTTCAATCCGGTCCCGAACGGTTTTTTTTACCTCAAATCTAAGCCCAAAGATTGGATTGGATTGTTTACTATCCGGTCCCGGTCCGGGTTATACGGTCCAGTTTCGGGTAAAACCAAAAAACCGGACCAAATAACCAGCCCTAGTATATATGGAAAAAATTCAAAAGTACCACTGTTTAAAAAAAAATTCCAAAAATACCACCCAACCTCAAAAAATTCCAAAAATACCACTTTTTTCAAAAACCGCCACCCTACCCTGCGAGTTACACGAAAAATGCTGGGTGGGGCGGCGGTTTTGGGCCAACCCGCCAACCCACCCAGCGGTTTGGTCAATTTTTCTTTTCCGATCAACTCCTAACTTCGGCCGAAACTTCAAACGGACGTAACTTTGCACTCGGGTATCCAATCGTAGCGATTTTTTTTTGAATTCGAATAACTTTTCGAGATCTTGCAAGCCGCAAACACCGTAGGCCTTTTGGTCCCGCCTTCGTCTCGAAAAAACGTCATTTGCTACCCCGAACGAGCCTTTTTTCGATTTCGTCAAACTTTGGGCGGCCATAACTTTGTGCTCCAAAATCCGAACGTCATGAATTTTTTTTTTCATTCCGCATAACTTTTCAAGATCTACAACTTTTAACATAACCATAATTTCTAAATGTACATGGATTTGTGAAAAGTAAAGGTAAAGTTATTTCCAAGGTCCCGTATATCCAAAACTAATTCCTGTTTTGAAAATTTCATCCTAGTAAAACTTGTAGATCTTAAAAAATTATACGAAATGAAAAAGTCCAGTATATATGGCAAATGCTTTTGTACGTTAGGAATGTAATATACGTTTGCGTTCATACATATTATATGTAATTCAACAAATCAAAACTTTAACTTATTATTTTATTAAATTAATCTTATGATTCGAGTTTAGAGAATTAGAAGCTAAAGTCCACCAATTATCATGTTATCAAACCTTGATTAATTCATTAGCTTTGTAAATTAATATGTTCATATCATTCACAAAAATTACTTCCCTAATTGCACAGGAACGGGATCATCACCGGCGAATGGCACAACCGCATATGGACACGTGGACTCGACCCACCAAACACCACCGTCGCCGCCACCGTGGCACCTCTCCCACTCTTAACTCCGACGGAAAACGAGCCTCCACCCGCCGCGTTGTCCGACTCCGTCCAATCGAACAACGCCCAAAACACCATCTCCCTCACCGTCGACATCCCCAAATCAACTTCCAACCAACAAACGGCGGCGTACCTCGTGCTCTACTTCACGGAGTTGCTCATCCGGCCAAAACTCGACGACACGAGGGTCATGGACGTCTACGTGGACGGCAAGATGACGGCGTCGGTGGAGGCCGAGCTCACGAAATGCAAAGTGGCCACGGTGTACCCGATTGCCGTCCAGCCGGATGCGGTCAGCATCAACGTCACGCTTGCGAGGGCGAATTCCTCGACGTTGCCGCCGATGGTCAGTGCGATGGAGGTGTTTACGAGGATAGAGAGCTCCGGCGCCGGCGCCGGAGGGGGCGGGGGTGGGAGCAAATCGACCGGCGGCGGCGGGAGAAGGCGTCTCGTTGTGGCGTCGTGTGCGGTTGTCGTCCATGTTGTCTCCATTTTGTTCATTTCTCTGTTTTAGTTGCTAATAATTTTCCCCCCCTCTATTTTTACACAAAATAGAAGACATTGATCATCTCATATTCTCACTATCTTTAATTTTGATGTTTTTCACATTTCTGAACAAATAAAAAGTCAAAATAACATTAGAATTGCGTATCCAATAATATGGGTATAATTTAGACCAAATAAAAAAGGTGCTGGATCTGCTCCAAAACTAAAAGTAATGAATCAAATCATATTTGACTCGTAATATATTGGGTTTGCACAATATACAAAATTCGTGTCTTTCGTTCCATCTCTATCCGGGTATGCAAAAATCGGATACACGTATCACCAATAGCACTCAATTGGTATTCGAATTGAACCGAATCAAACAAGATAATTTGGATTCAGTTTCGATTTTTATAGAATTATATAGAAGAAGGTATGCCAGACAGAAAATGTAGACCAGCACTCTGCCCAACAAGCAATTTGTATTGTGTGTTTCTAGTCATTATTGTCTGTTCCATGCTTCCCTAACAACGACAAATAATACGTTACAAGATCACAGTCACACCAGTTTAATTCCCTTTAATTTGGCCATCGACCTCCAGGGGAGTTGGGTTCAAGTGGGCAGCAACTGCGTGCTGCTCGTTGCAAAGGCAGATTCCACCCACGCAGCTGCAATTTGGCGATTGACACGGTGTCGCGCACGGCAAAGGCTCGTTGTTTGTACTCACCGGTCTGCTCTCCGCTACTTTAATGTTATTTTCACCCGACATTTCAGACTCATTGCAAAGGCAAATCCCTCTCACACAGCTGCAATTTGGCGATTGACACGGTGTCGCGCACGGCAGAGGCTCGTCGTTTGTGCCCACTGTTCTGCACTCCACTCCATTCGTGTTCTTTTCACCTGACATTTCAGAAGAGCAAACATGAATTAGAAAAAAACACTAATTTTAAAACCATGTATAATGCAAATATCGTATCGAAACGTACGGATTGTGAAAACTAAGAGAGCAACCAAGAAGGCCAACTTCATAATACTCTTTTCCATGTCTTTTTCTTGTTGGGATGATTTCGTTCCCACTTGTTGGATGATCTACAAGTTTTCTACCAATTGTTTTTTGAGTGTTTTGATGAGCTTTGCTGTTGGTTTGGTCGGTTTATATAAGGGCAGTCATGGTTTATAAATTGTAAAGATAATTCATTGATTCAGAAATAAGATATGCATCACAATTATTGGAATTCCTTCTACTACAAAATTTATTTTGTCTATAGTTATATAATGGTTGCCATAAGTGTTTCTTCATATGTAAGGTATAAGACAGCTAAATAGATTCCTTTTACAAGAAATACATACGTTATACCCAAAAATTGATTACTCAAATTAAGCAATTAAAACATTTTTTATGGTTAAACAATTTCAAACATTTGTATTTGACAATCTAGGCAATTTTTCATTTTTTTTTTCAAATTCGATAAGCAATGAATGGTATGTATGATTTGCGGAATACAACTCATGAAATGCAGAATATAAAAAAAAAAAAACATAAAAGAAAGAGTTAAATGTGTTGGGGATGAATTTATTGGACCGAGCAACTCGAGCTCGGTCCATCAAATATAAGGTGCACAAATCCAAAAATGTCGTACTATGTATTAACTCAAGAGTTGAGCAACTTGAAGTTCCATACTAGGACAGACTTCAGAAGAGTAGTCTTTTTTTTATTTATAAAAAAAGTAGGTTATTAAGTAGGTAAATAGGCAAGTTGAAGGGAAAGTTCCATACACAAATACACTACAACGAAGGGGATATTTGAAGGTTGGCTTCAAGATTTGAGTTCTGCTCTTGTTCTTGTGTTCCTCGGACTTAATAGGGCACCTCATCTTGTGTCAAATAAAGCCCTTCAGAAGTTCGATTAGTTGTCGACTACCGTCTACCGTTCGTGATTATTATCCGTCCTTTCAGTATTTGTTTAATACTTTTATTGTTAGATTGTGTATTGGAAAGAAAGAGAAAAAAAAGAACATATATGGTCTTCCACGACCACCAACTACAAATATGTTGGGCGCACATAATGAAAAGGTTGAATAATTGGATAGTCTTAAGATGAGCAAGTGAGCATCATGAATGAAACATCGTATTATTAGTGGAGAAATCAAATACATGAAATGATGAAAAATGAAACAAAATAGGAAGCTTCCATGCTTCATGGCTGCACACTAACAGACCAATCATTAATCCTCTCTATTGTGCTGTGTGAAGATCCAAACTCACCACCTCCCATTAATTGAGAGGAGGAGGTGGTTGGGCAATTGTGATCCAAAAGAAAAAAAAGAGATCTGAAATCAGAAAGGTGCCTCTCATTTCAAATCGAGAAGAGAAAATTTTGTTATGTTTGGTAAAACTTACTGTTCAATCACTTTTACTGGTGGACAATTTCCTCAATCACTTCAGTAGTGCTAGTGTTGAACCATTGCATTCTATTGTTTACTTTTATGGTGTGGAGTAGTTTCAAAGTTTCACACAGTGTAGGCATAAACTAAAGTGAGTGGATGTTGTGTCTAACTCTAGAGTCAATTTCACCTTATCGGATATTATTTGAAAACGAATTGCAAAGGGCGCGAAGTATAAAAACTGCAACTTATTGATGATCGATTGTCAAGAGAAATTGGCAACTAGATCAATTCGACCCCATATGGCTCACAAGTCCATCATATATCGTGTATTCCTTCTTTTGCTCCTCAATATGAGGTAATTCAAGTATCCGCCAATGGATCGGCGTACCTTCCGATGATTTTTATCTACCGGTGTAACTGGTAGTTTGATAGGTACGAAGTCTCGCTGACCATTCATAGTGTCAAGGTTCTCCGACAAAGTGCTCGTGTAGGGTTAAGTGAAAGGTTCTCTATATATATAAGTTATAATCTGGAGAATTTCATGTGTGATGAACTAGTTGGGTTCAATTCAATAACTTAAGTTGTTGGCCCTCAAACGAAATTCTACTCATATGGACTTGAAATTTGCACAACTTTATGGGGTCGTTTGCTTGCGGGATTTGGGTGCCGTATTTGGCATCCAAATACCAAGCATTATGTATTTGATAAAAAAACCATTGTTTGTTGAGGTATACAAATTCTTGGGGTCCACGAATTTGAAACTTTTTTTAGCTCCAAACTGTAGACCCCACCCACGTATTTGCAAAGACCGCATTTGATTTGGTATTTGCAAATACCACATTATGGAAGGCAATTTTTTTGGGACCCAAATACCAAATGAACTAAATCCATGATAAAAATTCAACTGAACAAACAATGTTATCTTTCAAATACAAACAGTCCCAGCATACAGCGCAATGCGTATTCAGATTTTCATATGAAAAGGGCCATTTAAAATCGAAGATGCAACAAATCCATCATAAATCTATAAAGGTTCTCAAAATCAAAAACCTTCATTTTCAAATCTTTTTTTTTTTTACAAAAGATAATCTTATATTGATCAGAAAAGAGATAATTTTACATCCTGGAACGGAGCCAGGCCTCAAAATCAAAGAAACGACTTGCTGACGGGTACAAAAGAAGGGCCTTCCGAGCCACCAAGTGGGCTACTCTATTATTACGCCGACCTACAAACCGAACACTAAACCCTTGCTGGTTAGATAAGCAAAGCAGAACTTCCTCAAGAAGAGCTCCAATCCGGCTATCACGGACCTCAGCCCTAGAGAGCTTCTCAATAATCACCAGAGCATCTCCTTCAAAACAAACCTCTGTCAACCCCGCCGCAGAGCACCAACGAATTGCCTCTCGGAGCGTGAGCATTTCAACCACCAGAGGATCATCAATGACACCAAACTGAACACCCCTCGCCCCTACCACCAACCCATCAGACGACAGGATAACCATCCCACCTGCCGAATGCGAGCCACGCCTAGTAGCGCCATCCCACCGACAAATGAACGACCCAGGAGGAGTGACCGTACCCTGCGGCCTGCTAGTTGTAGCAGGGGCACGAGGAGGAGCCCTCTCCCCAGGCAAGTTTATCCACTCCTGAACCTGCTGATTAAACTAACGCATAAGAGCTGGGATCCCAAATTATTTGCCCTAAAAAACAACCCAATTCCGCGATCCCCAGATCCGCCAGAGAACAGCGACAACTGCCATCAGCAGGTGGGGCTGCTGAATACACATCAGCAGCTTTTTTAGGAATAAAGGAAACGTATGCCTAGGCAGGGCTTGTCCAAGGTACTCCAACCCCGCATAATCCCACATTGCCCGGGCGACTGGACATTCAAGGAACAGATGCTCCATTGTCTCCGACTCGGCCCAACAAACCGGGCATCGAGGATGAACAAGAACTTCCTTTTCAATAAGAGCTTCCGTCGTAGGGAGAAGCCGATTAAGAAGTTGCCAGAGGAAGATGCGCAATTTAGGGGGGATAGGGGCATTCCAAACCTTAATCCAACTCGAACGATCCATCCAACTGGTCGTAGACCGCCACTGGCCTTCTTTTTTATCCATAAGAACAGCCAAATGATAAGCTGACTTCACAGTGAAAACCCCATCAGTTGTCATATGCCAGATCCGTCTATCCTCAATATTCTCGCTAGGAAGCGGGATCTCCTTAATCGCTCGACAAGTAGGGGGATCAAACCATTGACTTAGCCTCTCCTCACACCAACGCCCCTCCCCAGGGACAATTACCTCAGCCACCACTGGGTTTCCCCCACTGGGCATAACGCGCGGATTAGGGACTGAGTTTTCAGGGTGCAACCGAGGAATCCAATTGTTTTCTAATAGCGGGGCGGCCAGACCATTTCCAATTTGCCACCTAAGGCCATTCACTAACAACTGACGCCCAAAAAGAATGCTTTGCCAGCCCCACGACGGGCGAGATCTAGCCGTGGCCCGAAGGAAATCCCCCCTGGGGAAATACTTACCCTTGTACACCTGAGCCAACAGGGACGAGGGATCATTGAGGATCCGCCATCCAATCTTAGCCAGCAGCGCTTGGTTGAAGTGCTCAAACCGGCGAAATCTCAT